TTTTTTTTTTTTCATTTTTGGCCAGGGCCAGGATTGAACCCACCACCACTGGTATATGGGGCTGGTGCCCTACTCTTTGAGCCACAGGCCCTGGCCCCAATCTGATGTATTTTTTTCCTTGCCTTATTGCAGCGTTTTGAACCTCCAGCACAATGTGAATAGAACTGGTAAAAGTAAACATTCTTGCATTCCTTCTGATCTTTGGAGGAAAGCACTCTTTAACCATTAAGTATGACATTAGCTATGGGTTTTGTAAAAGTTCTTTGTCAGATTAAGGAAGTTATTTTCTGTTGCTCATTTGCTGATAGTTTTAACTTTAAATGGATGTTGAATTTTGTTAAATGTGTTTGTCAACGAATTTTTCCCATTTTACCTCAACGCTTAGAATGTTTTTGTGCACTTTAAGTGTTCCACAAATATTTTTTGAATGAGTGAAGCGGGGCTAAATATTTGTGAGAGTGCAAGACTACAGCTCAGCAGATGATGAGAGGAAGACTTCATGAGGAGACTTCAGAGGCTTTGAATGCCTACTCTACTCAGGGTTACTAGATTATGTCATGCAATTTTCATAGCAGTACTGAGAAATTAGTATCTCCATTTTACAATAGATGGAATTATTTAAAAGCTGTAACATGGTTGAGCTGTGGAGAAGAAGTCTTATGTTTCACTATTCAATAGAAATTTTTAAAAAGGCCACTGTTAAGTTCAGAAAACAAAACAATTTATACCAAGGGGATTGCTCCCAAATGTAATGCAAACTAAAATGGAGCAGGATCCAAAAATTTAATGGAGTGAAAGAGTAAAGAATCCATTTGGTCTGGAGACAAGGAATGTGTCCTTGAAATAACCATTGGAGTACTAAGAAGAAAAATTCATGTGTAATGCTTGCCACAATAATCAAAATAATGTAAATTTAGGTTATTGGTTTGCAACCTAAGGATTTGATCTACAGACAAAGCATAGGAGATTTAATTTTGCTTATACACCAAAAATATAAATATTTATCAACTTTGACAAAGCCAAAGTCCAGATCTGAGGGAAGTTAGAATGTGGAAAAGTGAGAAAACTTTCGGGTATTAACATTCTTATTTTTTGAAATGGGAACATTTAAATCCCTTTGAACTTCAGTTCGTGGCGAGGTATAAAGTATTACCTAATGGAATTGTTGTGAGGATTAATGAATGTATGTGTCCAAAACAGCTACTGTGTGGTAGGCACTGGGCTATCTATGACAGTGACAGAGAAGAGTGGGGGGGGGCAGGCCTGTGGCTAGAAGGAAATCAACCCATCTCACTAGCCTCGGAAGGCTGCGACTTTAAGGCTGTCTTATAAACCAGCTATCCTACAAACAGACACTGTTACTGCCCAGAGAGCAGAGTCATAAAAGAGCAAAGGCTGTGTCTAGCACAGAACATCTGAATGACAGGGCAGCCCTGTAAGTGGCATCAGCACCACCATTCCACAGTTATGAGAACTGAAACTGAGAGAGCACCTGACTTACCTAGGACCAGCAGCAAGTGGCTAAGCCAGGGCAAAACGAGGGACTGTGACTTTGGATTCCATTACCTGCTATAGAGCCATGGGGCACAATGAATCTAAAACACTGGTGAGCTCCTGGCGTGTGCTCTGTACGTAGCTCTAATGAATAGGCCCCTAGGATTAATTAAGGGGAAAAAAGATTAGTTGTTTCTTCCAACAGCTGCAAATTATTTACATTGCATTTGTGTTGATTGCTAATAAAAGAGGAAAGGAGTGTGGCCCAGGGTGGCTATAATTCTTCCAGAGTCCATAATGAAGCATTGGTCTCAGCACCAAAGTTAGAGCATGCGTGAGCCTGCAGCCCCTTCCGCACCTCAGTGGGCAGAGCTACTTTCCACCGTGGGCATGATCCAGTCACAGAAATGGATCTCAGGGGCCAAGACAGAAAATAGCAAAGCTCATGTCCCTGCCCCACTAGACTGCTTCTCAGTTAGTTCACGCTTGCTGTGGAATCGGTGAGAGGGAGCAAAATGGTGGCCCAGGCTAAAGCTACCACCAGTCCTGATGAGGTTGGAAGGGGACAGGAGTCACTGCATTAGAGCTGCTCTCAATTCTATAAACTCCTGCTTTCCTATAGCTATTAAAATCTTTTTAACATACTATATAAAATCTATAGAGTGCATTGCAATGTGTATTGCATGTATGATATATTGTGCATGTGTGTGCATGTGCCTTCTGGATGTCACGAAATATAAACGAGTTTCTAGTTTGCCCACTGATCAATTATTGACCATGTGATCATCTTGGGAAAGTTACACTGTGCGGGAAGTAGTTTCTTCATCTTTATAGTGACCAAGACTGCCTCACAGGTTGCTGTGGGGACCACTGCATACAGGACCACACCTTTTAAACCATGAGGCAGGGTGTGAGACTGGCATCAGAACAACTTGGTTATTCTGGGGCTCCCAATAACCTGTTGTTTTGTTTATAAAGTGCCTACTCTGCACCCAGACTTCTATAAAGGGACATGGGGGGGGGACTAAAAAATGAGAAGCCAACTAGCCCACTGTTGAGTAATCAGATTAACATTTTAGAAAGACCACTCTTTAGAAAGATCACTTTTGATACCAATATGGAGGATAGACTGACATAGGACAAGATTTCCTACTGGAGAGCAGCCAGGCCACTGCAGCTCTAAAGATAGGAGTCAGCTGGGCCAGAACCAAACCAGACAAGATGTTCCCAGGAGAAGGAGCTGGCAGAGACCTGGTGCTCACCCGATGAAATTCTCACTTAGGAATATTACACCAAATCTTGGTGCAAGTCTTATTTCAATTATCTACCTGTTGATATAAGTCTACTGTATTTATTTGCTAGGGCTGCTGTAACAAAACTACAAACAAGGAATCTTAGAACAACAGAAATTTATTGTCTCACACTTCTGGAGGCCAGAAGTCTGCAATCAAAATGGGTGGGTCCATGCTCCCTCTGAAAGTTCTCCCTCCATTCCTAAGGGAGGATCTGGGCCAGACTCTATCCCGGCTTCTGAAAGCACAACTCCAGTCTTCTTTTGCATCCCCTGAGTGCCTGGCTATGCCACAGCTTCCCCTTTCTATAAGGACACCATGAATATTGGATAAAAACCCATCCTAATGATCTCATTTTAACTTGATGACCTCTATAAAGACCTACCTCTAAATATAGTCTCATTCCAAAATACTGTGAGTAAAGACAGCACCCTTTCATTTTG